TTGTTCTTTTCTGTTCATTGTGTATCTTGTGATTTTGTAGCTGAAATAACCTGTGATCATAGTCGTTGGGGTGAACTGGAAATGTGCAAAAGCTGTAAAAAGGAGAGAGCCGTACTATCAGAAGAGAGCTCTTTGGCCTGGAAATCAGTGAAGTGTGTAATTAAAAAAAACAACAAACAACCCCCCACAAAACATTGCCTAGAAAAAGGTGTTGTAGACACAGAGTCAGGGAAGTCTTACCTGCATGTCTACACCCTTTCTGGACCTTGAGGTGTATACCTGTAGCATTGAAGACTGAGTATGGCCTATGTTATTAGGAAAAGTACTTACTGTAAGAAAACAAGTAGGCGTGAAAGAGAAATGCAAGAACGAAAGTTATCATAGATCCATCTAGCCTTCACTAGATTACAGTGTGGCTGGTAGCAGATGTGTAGAGACAAGTGTAATAACAGAGTCTGTGCAGAGCAATCATTCTTCTACTAATCTTACCTTCCTAACTTCTGGCATTCGGTAGGTAAGGAAAGTATTTGAGGAGGAGAGTGTTTATAAATAGATAACTGCTAATGTTACCTCCTTGGTGCTTGTAATGAGATGCAGAGAGGCTATCTGAATTGGCTTATCTCTGGACTATACTCTAGGTGGTCTTCCTGCTTTCTTTTTCTGCTTGCTTTGCTTTGCTTTTTCTTTTCTAGTTGCAAACCACATTCTCAATGAGTGCACTAAACTAAAAATCTCTTGAACAGGGACAGGCCATCTGAATGTGCCTTGTACGTGCAACATTGTAGAGCGATTAAATTTCAAAATAATTTTTTAATGCACATTTTCATTTCTTTAATTGTTCGATAGTCCTAAACATTTCTGAGTTTGAATTAATTACCCCTTCTCATGTGCACGCATTATAAAGGAAGGCAGTTACATGGCAAGCTGTTCTCCTATTCTGTGAAGTTTAAGCTGCTAAAGAAGTAGAAGTAAATCAAGTTTTGTTTTTGTTTTTTTGAAGAGTTCCTGCTTGTGCTAAATATGATCATGAAAAGGGGGAAAATGTATTAGAATGATTCTGCTGTTTTTACTTGGGCTTAAAAACGCATTCTTTATAGGTCCAGTCAGACACAGCTCAGAACTACACCATTTATTATTCTGCAAGTGGACCGGGAATTGATCAAGATCCGAAGGGTTTGTTTTACATAGAAAGAGAAACTGGAAATATCTTTGCTACTCGTGCAGTAGACCGTGAACAATATCCAAGCTTTCAGGTACAGGCCTAAATTGTGTAAATATAAATCTTTTTTTTCTGTCATGCATATATTTGAAAGCTGGGTTACAGGGGAAACTGGGAGCAGGCAAGAGCTGGAATCAGCTATCTGTTCTGAGTAGTATCTTTGGTAGAGTAGAGGTGAAATCAGTGACAAATAAGGAAATAGCTGGTCATCTAGGTCTTGAGAGTAGTTCTGCTTTTCACTGCTTAGACTCTAATTACAGCATAAATGTAGTGAGCTATTGGACTTGCATCACTTTTGGAAAGAGTTTGAAGTTATCCCAGAGTTCTTCAGGGAAGGTTGAAAAGGTCTGCATAAACACAAAATCGTGAGAAACTCTAGATGGCTGTGGTTTTTTAAGCCTCTCTTTCTCAAGCTGTTCAGTATTGGTATTTTGTTAACAAGGTACACTGCTCTCTCTACTGGCTGAGAAGTGTACGACGGCAGTTAGTAGAAACAGCTTCTAAATAGTTAGGTAATTTGCAGTACCTATTACTGCATTTTATTAGATTATGTTGTAATGGGCAAATAGTTTTGCTGTCATTCTTGATTTTGTTCTAAATAGCAATATTTACGTCTAAATTTTTGGTAAGGCTGAGATTGTCTCGTAGACACCTGGAAAAAGTTTTTGACAGAGTTGGGGGGGAGGGAAAGAAAGTAATTCAAAGATTTGTAGTGCGAGGAATGGAAAGCGGAAAGATTAGAAAGCATTTAAAGGTTTTGTGTTGCTGTCGTCATAAGATATCAGTCACTTCCCCTGCTATGTGGCTGAAGAGCCCGGTCTTGAGAAGGGCGTGCTTGGCATGCTGTATTTAATTTTATTGACTCCTTCGTTGAACTAAAAGTGTAATAATACTTCATGTTGCTTAAGCATGAAGTGAATTACTGAATTTATGTCTTACAGATCATTTGCTTTGCAACCACTCCGGATGGTTATTCACCAGAGATACCACTTGTGCATACAATCAGGATAGAGGATGATAATGATAATGCTCCATATTTTACACAGGACCTTTTTGAGTTTTCTGTCCCTGAAAATTCCAAACCTGGTAAGAACTGTTTTAGATCAGTGAACACAGTTACCACTATTCAGCTGAGTTACGTACCAGTATGACTAGGTGTAATCCTGCCTTTTAATCAATTTCAGTGGGATTTCCTAAGGAGTATTTCTTTACAGCAAAGGCTGAATTTGCAAAGAGCAGCTCAAGATTTCTTAATGATTAGAAATTCCAAAATGCCATCTCAATCATAGTGAAAAGTATCGTTTAAAAAAGAAGTTTTTAAAAACTGAGATGATTCAGTGTTCCTAAAACGGTGTAAGAACTTCAGAACGTTATTCTTTTAATTTTATCCAAAATCACCTTTTCATAAAATGTTCTGATTGATAGAACAGCAGTTTTTAACAGATTAGTTTCCTAGACAACTAAATTGGTGGTATTCTAAGGTGTAAAATGCCTTTGATTAAGCTTACAGCGTTTGTCCGAGCTGATGAAGTAAGGTAGGACTTTTCCTGGGAGAAGGCGGTGGGGGAGAAAGTCTTGCATCTGCCCGTATCTGTAAAAGGCAGGGATTTGCCCGTTACTGACTTCACGTGTCAGTGTGACAGAGCACAAAACACAAAAGCAGGGAGAAAGGTGGACCCCAGAGAATAAGGAATGCAAAAGCCGTGGTTTGCCCTTCCTCGCTCGTCTCCTAGGCTAGGGGTATAGAGTGGGGAAAGTCTAACTTGCTTCTCAAAAAAGGAAGCAAAATGTCTTCCCATTCACCCCAAAACACCAGTTGCATTTCATTCGCTGAGCTGCTCTACTTCTTACTGGGTGAGAAGTACTTCTTACTGATTTAAAGTGAAGTTCCAAAACCACTCAGGCTATATGGATGAAGTACAGCAGTGCTCCCCGCGAGGCAGTATTGCAGTTTGAATCATGTCAGAAAGCACCGAACCTCCCCCTCCACCCCACCGGCAACTCCTCTTCAGCTGTGTTTGGGATGCCCAAGTAGAAGTCACTGTCAAAAACACTAAGTGAAATCTAAACTTTTAGCATTTCTTTTGATTATTCTTCCTGACAGCTGCAATAATTACAACTTTGTCTAAGAAGGAAAAAAAATAGCCAGAGGATTAAAATAGACAATTTTGCACTATTATGGTATTTTTACTACTATTGACTGTGTTTTTAGTATTATTTTCATTTGGAGCTAAATGACCAAATAGCTATTTTCATGTATCTAAAGTAGAAATACCTGTTCAAATAATCTTTGATTATTTACAGATTTTTCTGGAACTAAAAATTGACGTGTTGTCTTCACAGGTATAGTTGTTGGAAAAGTGACTGCAGAGGACAGAGATGAGCCTTATACTCTGCATACTACATTGAAATACCGCATTGTGTCACAAAATCCACCAGTAACCCCAGCGTTTTCTTTACATGGTGACACGGGTGTCATTGCTGTATTATTACCACAGCTGGACAGAGAGGTGATCTTTCCTGAAGCGTCTTTAGCTGTCATCTAGTGCACACAGATAGCTTCTTAACTCTGAATTGCTGTCATGGGAATCACCAGATAAATAATTTCTGTTACCCTTTTTTTTTCTTTCCCTCTTTAAGGAGCTTCCGAAGCTTTCTAGAGACCTGTAATTGGTCCAAAGAGTTTCTGCATAGATCTACCATATTCTAGCTAATCTTGGCAGGGGACCTCCCGCTGCTCTCCTATTCGAGCTATGGATCAAAAACCCTATGGATTTTTATTGTTTCTCTGTTCATGAATCCCATGAGCCACTGTTTTCTCCTGATCAAGCTCCATTTGAGGTGCTTCTCGCTTCTTTAGAGGGAAGATGAACCAACTTTTCTGGAAGTAGTCAATCATCCTATACTCAACAGAAATATCTCCAATATCTGAAATCTAAACAGTAATATAACATTTCCTAAAATTAAAGCACAAACCATTTATTCTTATCAGCTAGCTTTCACGTAAATAAGATACACAGGAGGTTTTAGGTTTTATTTTATTTGGGGTGGTTTTTTTGGATAAAATGTTATGTGAGAGATTGTTTATGCTAGAAAAACTAACAGGTGTGTGTAATTCCAAATAATATTTCTAGCGTTAAGACAGTCATTCTAGAAAAAAATACTGCTACGGGCACATCTTTTTTGAGGGTAAAAAGGGTCACATTCTGGCATACTTATGTGGCTTCATGGCTGAAAATCCTCATTAGCAGTGTGTTGCAGAATTGTGCAATTGCAGGTACACTGCTCAACTTTTTTAGCAGGAGAAAAATGCAGTGACTGTGAGCATCACCGTGACTACTAAGGAAACAATCAGTGACTACTGAGGGAAGGAAGGCTTGAAAAATGAGTCCACTGCCTACCTTTTAAAGATAAGCTTACGAAGTGGAACAGGACATTTCTTTCTTCCACCTAAGAAACCTAATGCTACTTCCAGGCATTCGGAACTGGAGTTACTATCTTGATTTACAAGCTCCCTCGTTTTGTGCCCAGTCCCCTCCGGCCCCCCTTCCCTGGGTTGTTCACGTATTAATAAGGCTAAAAAAAGCCTTCTGCTCTTGTGACTAAAGTCAGAGATTTCAGTGGGTTGCTTATCAGTGATCCCCTTGGAACTGATAAGGGCACTGACTCCTGTGCCAGACTGTGCCAAATGGCAGGCATTACCTTATCATGTATAGCCCAAACAAAGGCTGATTGCAGCACCATTTCTAGTCATCCTCACTGAAATGAGACATGCACTGAAGCACTTTACCAGCTGGAAACCTAAGGGAATACTCTGCCATTCTGAAGCGGAGACATAGATAGCAGATGAAAGTGCATCATTTGTATCTTCCAAAACTTCAGGTATTGGAAAATAATGCTGGCCTTGTGAGAAGCTTTATTTGATACAGGATATAGTGTACACGTTACTAACAGATGCTGAACTCAGTGCTGCTTAGCCACTGAAAAATATTTTACTTCTTTTCCTTTTGGAACTATGGGGAAAAAGCCCCAAAGCTAATTGCCTCATTTTGTAGGGGAGCACTGAATTTAGAGCAGAGTTGGGGAACGGGAGTAAAATATTTAGTTCTACTCTTGTGTGTAACTACGTCAAACTTTTGTATGCTTTTGTTCATCTTTTCAGCTGGTATCCAGTTACACTTTGTTAGTTGAAGTGAGAGATATGGCAGGTCAGCCTTTTGGTTTGTGCACTACAGGAACAGCTGTCATTAGAATCGAAGATACAAATGACAACGCACCATGCTTTAAACAGACACAAGTAAGTCTTCATAAATTAAATGTCTGTAAAAAGGTAAAATGAAAAGACTATTTTTACTCCCTTTCTAATTTCCTGATGGGCAGTCCCTCAAATATGAAGCCTAATGCCCTGAGGCAGTTAATGCCAGCATCGACATTTGAGAATGCCCTGTTGGTTGTTGTGCTGTTTGGTAATTAAACCTATTGGTATATTAGTTGTTTTGAGTCATTTGCCTTATGTCCATTGGGAGAAAGCTGACGTGACTCATTCATTCACTTCTGCTGCAATGCATAGTCTTAGAAATCCCATAATTTAACCATTTTCAGGGAGGGGACAGGTTCACTCCTAAGCATTGTCATGACCTCGTTACCATTTGACCAGCTTTTGGCTACTTCTGTGTGGCTGTTGTGGTTCAACCCCAGCCGGGCAATTAAACACCACACAGCTGCTCGCTCACTCCCTCCCGGTGAGGTGGGGGAGAGAATCAGAAGGGTAAGAGTGAGTGTACGTGTGGGTTGAGATAAAGACAGTTTAATAGGTAAAGCAAAAGCCACGCACGCAAGCAAAGCAAAACAAGGAATTCATTCACTACTTCCCATGGGCAGGCAGGTGTTCAGCCATCCCCAGGAAAGCAGGGCTCCATCACGTGTAACGGTTACTTGGGAAGACAAAAAGCCATAACTCCAAACGTCCCCCCTTTCCTTCTTCTTCCCCCAGCTTTATATGCTGAGCATGACATCATATGGTGTGGAATATCCCTTTGATCAGTTGGGGTCAGCTGTCCCGGCTGTGTCCCCTCCCAGCTTCTTGTGCACCCCCAGCCTGCTCGCTGGTGGGGTGGTGTGAGGAGCAG